CACGGCTTCAAAGCCCGGAAAACATTCCTAAATGTAATTTAACCGGCCGTGAAAGCCTTCATAGTCTGATAAAAAGTTGTAATATTCGACGATGTAACCCTTCACCTAGAAACATCCCGCAAATTTTAGATCTCTACCAAATCACAATGGCTTACGCCTATTGGAAATCAGGCAAAACCAAAGACCTTGCAGTATTCGACTTGTTTTTTCGAAAAAATCCCTTTCAAGGAGAGTTCACGATATTCGCAGGCCTGGAAGAATGCTTAAAGTTTTTGGGCAAGTTCCGATACTCAGAAAGTGGTGAGAGAATTCATAATCACCCGCAAAATCCACTTTACAGTGGTTAATACTTGCAGATATCGAGTATTTGAGGACGACCTTACCATCATCTACAGAGGATGCATTTTTTGACTTTCTCGGCACATTAACAGCAGCGGATGTTAAGCTGTTTGCATTGGCAGAAGGATCTGTAGCCTTTCCAAGGTACCGTTTAGAGTTTTAACGCCTTAAGGCTATTTTTTCTGTTGCAGAGTGCCCCTGATGCGAGTAGAAGGGCCTCTGACGGTGGTTCAATTACTAGAAACCACTTTGCTGACTCTGGTTAATTACGCAAGGTAAGGAACTAATAATAATAATTTTTTTGAGCTGACACTTTTATTTAGTTTAATGGCAACTAACGCAGCACGATACAGAATAGCGGCGGGGAATTTAATGTTATTCGAATTCGGGCTGCGAAGAGCACAAGGCCCAGATGGGGGCTTATCAGCCTCAAAATATTCTTACATCGGTAAGCACCTGAGAGACTTTTATTATTAATCGTGTTATTTTCAGCTGATTCCGAAAAAAACCCGTTTCGAAACACAATAGTGTTTCTGTTGTCTGGCCTCTTCGATTCCCATTAGTGGAAAACAGCCGCAATTTGTATAAGGGCTAATTAACCAAATCTAAATCGCGCGATCGACAGGCGGTGTTAAACTTGGTACCAGGCACTAAGAGTGTCAAATAATTCATTCAATCGATATGAAACTGGTGGCGAAAATATGAGCCTTAATAGCTTCATGTTACCGTTTAGAATTTTGCGGCTAATCTGTGACGCCTGGCACCGTACGTCGTTTTCCTAACTTTCCAAGTTTGCTGCTTCCATCCAAAGTTCGTGAAGCAACGAGTAAAAAATTCAACAAGATCCCTATCATGCACACCGGCTCTATTGATAGGATAATCCATACGTTCCATGTGCTGTTTTCCTTTCCACAGTTTTTATTGCTTTTAGGTGGATTTGACGGTACCAGCAACGTGCTAGCAGGGAAACTGTTCAACATTCCCGTTAAAGGGACACATGCTCATTCTTACATCACATCTTTCAATGGTTTTGCGGAGCTAAAAAACGTCACCCTTCAAGGCCGAAATGGGGGAAAACCTCAGGATTTACTAAAACTCACCTTAGCTTGGAAGGAAAAACTCTTATCAATTTTCAATGTTATCTCTTCAGAAGCTAGTGAAGGCGAATTGGCTGCCCTAATATCATTTGCCATAGCTTTTCCTGATGGGTTTATGGCGTTGGTTGATACCTACGAGGTTCAAAGGTATTCATACTATTTAATTGTACATACTTTCCTGACTGTGTTTCAATTCCAAATCAAAATCAATTCCTGGGCTTCAGTCATTTATTGTCTATTTATCAATTAAAATACGTTTCGGTGTTTTCCACCATCATCAGTAAAGCGCGGAATATATGCAGTTAAATTCAATCAAAATATGCGGATATATATGCATAATTTTTATTCCAAATATGCAATTATATGCATTTATTTGGCCAAATATGTAACGGTATGCATTTATTTAACATGTGAAATTACTTTTAAAAACATACAAACATTGATTTGATGGAAAATATTTATTTCTTGAAAAAGTCAAGGAAAGC